TGGGCTTGGTGGTGGGTGGAGGAGAGAGGGGCGTGGTGGTGGGTGGAGGAGAGAGGGGCTTGGTGGTGGGTGGAGGAGAGAGGGGCTTGGTGGTGGGTGGAGGAGAGAGGGGCTTGGTGGTGGGTGGAGGAGAGAGGGGCTTGGTGGTGGTGGTGGGTGGAGGAGAGAAGGGCATGGTAGTGGTGGTGGGTGGAGGAGAGAAGGGCGTGGTAGTGGTGGTGGGTGGTGGAGCAGTGAGGCATGATAGTGGGTGGTGAAGGAGGTACGGACGTGGTGGTAAGTGGTGAAGGAGAGAAGGGCATGGTAGTGGTGGTGGGTGGAGGAGAGAGAGGCTTGGTGGTGGGTGGAGGAGAGAGGGGCTTGGTGGTGGGTGGAGGAGAGAGGAGCTTGGTGGTGGGTGGGAGAGAGAGGGGCTTGGTGGTGGGTGGAGGAGAGAGAGGAATGAGAGTGGCTGGCAGAGGAGGGAGGGGCTTGGTTGTGAGTGGAGGAGAGAGAGGCTTTGTGGTGGGTGGAGGAGAGAGGGGCTTGGTGGTGGGTGGGGGAGAGAGAGGAATGAGAGTGGCTGGCAGAGGAGAGAGGGGCTTGCTGGTGGGTCGAGGAGAGAGAGGCATGAGAGTGGCTGGCAGAGGAGGGAGGGGCTTGGTGGTGGGTGGGGGAGAGAGGGGCTTGGTGGTGGGTGGAGGAGAGACGGCTTGGTGGTGGGTGGAGGAGTGAGGGGCTTGGTGGTGGGTGGAGAAGAGAGGAGCTTGGTGGTGGGTGGAGGAGAGAGAGGCATGAGAGTGGCTGGCAGAGGAGAAAGGGGCACAGTAGAGAGAGAGCGATTGTAATATAATTCGAGCAAACCTTATTCTAATCGCATCCATTCGTCGATTTGCAGGGATGATGTGCCGGAGAACCAGTGTGCTGCTTCCCTCTACAAGGAGCAGGTGAAGCTGTGGGCGCTGCACTGGTGAGTAGAGTAAGAAGTGTGTGTATCCGCAGTGAGTAGGGGTGCGCGCACACGTGTAGTACAATTTCCTACATAGCACCAGGAGTTAATAATGACAATTTGTCAAATTGTCATTATTAACTCCTGATAGCACGTTGTCCGATTCCGCCAGCTTCCCTCTCATTCTAATCTGCTCCTTCACCCTCTCCTTAACACTCTTCCAACTCTTCGCGCATTCCATCTCTCTTCAACGCTCTACCTCTTCTCATCTCACACTGTCTCCCTCTCTCTCTCTCT